GTGCCTTGGCCTCCTGCTGGCTGCTTGCCACTCACCGCCCCTTCCAGCCTGGACTTTCCATTCCTCTACCAAGACCGTTCCTCCAGCAATGACCCCTAACTGGCATGTGAAGAAACGGCATTCAAGTTAGCCCTCTGCACTGAATGGGTCTTATTTATGCATTTAAAAAGTACATAATGTATTTTTACTCAGAGTCAGATGAACAGAATGGATAAGAAGAGGGAAATGGTGCAGAAGAGGATGAAGTAGTGAGAAAAATGAAATCAGCTCGTATTTATGGAATCCTATGTACAAGGGTTGTAGTTGCTTTTCAATCCCATGAATCAGGTAATATTAATATTCCCATTTTACAGATAAGAAAGCTGAGGCACAAAGGGGTTGTGGAACTAGTAGCTGGAAGAGCCAGGATTTGCACTCAAGAGAAGCAGGAGAGGCAAGGCCAGGGCACCCCTCCCTGTGGTGGGGTACAGAGAGGCCCTGGGGGAATTTTGCTAAATGAATGGAAGAAATGAGCTTTGTCCCTGCCCTTGAGGGAAAGGTGACATTTAATCAGACTGACAGGACCCTCCAGGATGAAGCATTGCAACACAGGAGAGGCATGCAGTTGAGGAAGCCAGTCTGTACAGGGCCCAGGGTTCCCTGACTCCGCTGTGTCACTATGCCTGGTGTCAAGGGCTGGGATGGGTCTTTTGTCTCTGGTTTCCACATACCCCTAGCCCCGTAATGTTCTGCCTAGCTTGATGCAGAATAGGTGCTCACTCAACATTTGCTGTCCTGTGATGGGGCTGGCACCCACCATGGGGACAGGCTCCCAGGGTGGGGCCAGCACAGGGATCCACTGAGATCTCAGTGCTGTCTGGCAGACTGTCCTCCCTGCCCTGTGCCCTGGCCTCCTGCTGGCCTGCTCGCCACCCACTGCCCCTTCCAGCCTGGACCTTTCATTCCTCCACCAAGATATCCCAACAATGCATTCTCTCTTCTGCGCCAAGTGGGGTTGGGGGAATATGAGGTGGGACTGATAATCCAGCTGAGAAAATTGGCTGGATTTCTTGGTAATGGGTGCATTCCTGCCTCTGAGCCTTTCTTGTCTCATGTGTCCTCATCTCAGGTGCCAGCTTTCGGATGGCTTCTCCAGCCCTACCCTGGTCATCCAGGAGCTGGAAGCAGAGGTGAGGGAAGGGGCCCAGTGGGAAAAAACAAAACAAAGGAAGAGCTGCAGGTCCCTCCTCTCTTCCACACCCACATCACCTAACTCATTCTGTTGAGCCATTGTTTTTTGCTAGACAGTTTTGGTTTTTAGTTGTGGTAAAATATACATAACATTTACCATTTTATACCATTTTAATTGTACAGCTCAGTAGTGTTAAGTATATTCCCATTGTTGTGAATCACATCTCCAGAACTTTTTCGTCTTGCGAATCTGAAACTCTGTGCCCATTAGACAACTCATTTCCCTTTCCCCCCAGCCCCTGGCAACCCTATTCTACTTTCCATCTCCAGGAATTTACTGCTCTAGGTGCCTTGCATAAGTGGAATCATGTAGTGATTGTCTTTTTGTGACTGGCTTATTTCATTTAGCATAATGTCCTTAAGGTTCGTTCATTCATGTCACAGCATGTATCAGAATGTCTTTTCTTTTCAAGGCTGAATAGTATTCTATTGTACGGATAGACCACATTTTGCTTATCCACTCACCTGTCAATGAACACATGGGTTGCTTCTACCTGCTGGCTATTGTGAATAATGCTGCTAGAACTTGGCTTCTTAGAGCATCAAGACTGCTATTCATTTAGAACCAGGGGATCTACGTACTTTTCTAAGAGCATTATCATCTCCATTTCACAATAGAAGAGAAAGGGCTCCAAAAGTTTATGTCCCTGCCCCAGATCCCACAGCCAGTAAGTGTCAGGACCTGGCTTTGGATTTATATCTGCACCAAACCTCACATTTAGCCCCTGCTTTCTAATCCCTCCTTCCCTGAGGGTGTTTGTTTTTATCTCTTATTCTGCTAGGAGCTGTACCAGGTGCATGTGCCCCTTCTGAGGCTAGGAACCAGAACTTACATAGGATCATACAGCATAGTGGCTAAGGATCAAAGACTCTGAATCCAGACTGCCCAAGTTCGAAGTTGGCTCCTTGAGTTTATCAGCTGTGTGACATTTGCCAAATGATTTAACCTCTCTGTGCCATGATGGATTAGTGATGTCTGCTATGGGTTCAGGCTAGGGGACATATGCCTCCTATCTGCCTCTCTGGACAAAACGCAAAGTTTGCTTTGCCACTGCACTCCAGCCCGAGCGACAGAGCGAGACTCCGTCTCAAAAAAAAAAAAAAAAAAGAAAGAAACCCTGCCCCACACCCAGGCTCCTTCCAGATTCTTGGTCTTGGAAGTAACGATGTTTCCTACAGAACTGCAAGAGCAGAGAGGCCACCTCTGAAGATTGGGTTTGTGGCATGACTTGCCCTGGGGGGATTTGGTTTTCATAAGAGTGGGAGAGCCTTTCCTGGCTGATAGTCTGTTTTCCAGGAGGCAGCAGGGTTGAGTCCCCTGCCCTGTTGGCCATCAGGCCCCAGGTGGAGGAGATTAGAGTATATGAGGGCCTCCTCCCCCAGCTGTCCTCCCACACCCTGTGTCTTCCTGTCCCTTGAGCTGTTGTTTATTGTCCAGAACCTGGCCACACTCATTTTCTTTCTTTCCTTCTTTCTTTCTTTCTTTCTTTCTTTCTTTCTTTCTTTCTTTCTTTCTTTCTTTCTTTCTTTCTTTCTTCTCTCTCTCTCTTCCTCTGTCCATCTGTCCTTCCTTCCTTCTTTCCTTCCTTCCTTCCTTCCTTCCTTCCTTCCATCTTTCCTTCCTTCCTTCCATCTTGCTTGCTCACAAGAGCCTCACTCTGCTGTCCAAGCTGGAGTGCCGTGGCACAATCTCGGTTCACTGCACCCTTGACTTCTCAGGCTTAGACTCAGCCTCCCAAGTAGCTGGGACCACAGGTGGGTGTCACCATGCCTGGCTAATTTTTTGTATTTTTTTGTAGAGACGGGGTTTCGCCATGTTGCCCATACTGGTCCTGAACTCCTGGCCTCAAGCAATCTGCCCATCTCAGCTTCCCAAAATGCTGGGATTACAGACTTGAGCCCGGCCCTGGCCACATTTCGAATGTATTTACAAGGTGCCTACTGGCTCCTTCTTCCGCAGGGTTTCTAAGGCCTGTAGTTCTCCCTGCTTCTCCTCCTGGCCCCTGCATCTTAAAGCAAGTCTTCATCCAAGATCCTGGGAGGGGCCGCATAGGCGCTCTGCTTGCTCTCGCCCTGAACAAAACTTCTGCTGAACCCAGGGCATTGGTGTGGACACCAGGCTGCAGGGCAGTGGGGTTGGGTGTGGCATGGGGCAAATGTGGGAGGATGACATCAGCACCACTTGGGGTGACAGGAAGAAAGCAGTGCGTGTCACAAAGGGTGATGGTGTGGGTATGGGCTGTAGACAGGTGACTTCAGGGAATGTGGCTGGTGAAGGTGTGAGGAGGTGGGACTGGAGCAGTTGTGTGTGTGGTGGGGGGCAATAGTGTGAGTGTCCTCATAAATGTCACCATGAGTGACTGACAGAGTAGGCGGGTGGTAATTCCAGTGGGTGACTATCTCGGCGGCACTGCGATGGGTGGGGAGCCAGAATGCGTGAGAGGATGCCGGTGGCAGGCGCCAAGACACCTCTGAGCTTGCCTCCTGGGGACGTCCTTCACGCCGGAAAGAAAGAACGAATGTGTTTTGTCTGCCTGTTGAAAATGATTCCGAGCGAAGGGCCGCGCCTCCTGGCCGGCACAAGCCTGACTCCGCTGTGTCAGAAGATGATCTTTCACAGATGCTGAAAAGTTAGGAAGTGTAATTACGGGGAAATTGCGCTCAGGCAAACGAGTACAAGCCAAGGGCTGCCAGGCCCCATTCCTCACCTGAACGCCCTGATTGTGGCCGACAGCCCCACATCTGTATGTGCTTTGCAGCCAGAAGAGGAAAGAGAGGGGAAGCAGGAACAGGGTGGGGAGGGGAGGGGAGGGATTGGGAGGGGACCTGGAGTCACCCCTGCCAACGGCTCCCTGGCTTCCTCAGGGAGGAGCTGAGGGAAGGCCGAGGCCTGGGGCACATTCCTGGGTTCCGAGGGCCTTCTGGGGTGCCCTCATTCCTGGGGGCAATGGGGAGGAGGAGCTGGGGAAGAGAAGTAGAGCTGACGCCACTTCTATTCTATCCTCTTCACTTTACTGGTGGGGAAACTGAGGCTGCAGATGGCCAAGGAGCACACAGTGAGTTAACAGTGCAGGCAGGATAAGATCCTCCACTTTCTGAACAGCAGGAGCTCTTGCCAGAGCCCCTGAGGGGCAGGGTGGGAGGGGCAAATAAGGAGCAGACCCGGGGAGCAGCAGGGTGCCCCTGCCTCCCAGTCGGCATCTGGTACCAGCCTTTGGGGTAGCTCTGCCCACTGGGCAGCCTTGACATTCCTTAAATTCCTGGCTCTCATCCTCCCACCGGGGCTCCTGCCCCATGGCCCCTCTCTGCTGGAGCAACTGGGACTCCTCTCAGCAGACGGACCTGCAGCTTCTCCTTTGCTGTTTCTTCCCACTGGGCCCCTCCCCTCGCCTCGCCTCTCCTTTCAGCTCCTGGGATAGCCCAGAGTTTGGAGCCTCCCGCTCTTGTTCAAACCCTCCTGGGCCAACTCAAGGGCACCCTGATGCCCTCTGCTCCCCACAGGATGGGCACTCCCTCCCTCCCACTCCTTGGCCCTCTCCTGGTCTATGGAAACAATTCTTCCCATTGGGCATAAGTTTGCTCCCCATCTCCATGCTTCTGGTAACAAGCTGCCCTGCCCCTGAGCCTCAGAGGAGGTACAGGCAGGCCCAGGCTGGATAATTATCCCAACATCCTCCTGGCCCCAGAAATTGGGTCAGGGAAGGACATGTGACTCCACAGGGCCAATCAGAGTTCTTCTCTGAGAAGGACACTGGGAGCAGGAAGCTGGCTTCAGTACCTCTGCAGCTGATAGATTGGGAAGCTGGAAGTTGGAATCCAGACTTTTCTTTATCCTGTAAAGTAGCCCACCTGCAGGAGGTAAGAGTGAGGCATGCAGAGAGTTAGAGGTGGGGGCAGGGCATGAAGAAATGATTGATTGTTAGCATTTTTGAACTCTGGATTTAGTCCTGTCTTCATCCCCATACCTCCCAGTTGTATTAGCTAATTTTTATTTTATTCCATTCTTATTCTATTCTACTCTATTCTATTCTATTCTATTCTATTCTATTCTATTCTATTCTATTCTATTCTACACTCAGTGCATTCAACTGGGTTTCCGTCAGCTGCAATCAAGAGACCTGATGAATGCAGCTGTCACAGAGCTGGAGCTTGGGTGTCCTGGGAAGTGTTGATGGGTAAGTTGGCAGGACCGAGGTAGGACCAGTGCCAGAGAGGTTGATGGTCCTCTCTTGACTGGGTGGGGCTTGGTAAAGGGCAGTCTGGCATGGTAGAAATTTGCCAAGGAGTAACTATGCACAAAAGAATTAAACAATAAAACCCCAACACAGAAGCAAATGTACAGCTTTTAGTTCCAGCTGCAGCCATTGAAGGAATGCATGTCCAGAGGAGAGAAAAGCACACACATCCCCAGGGGGAAAGGCCATCTGAGGGAAGGCGGGGTTCCAGGCAATACTCAACCTAGAGGACACACCTGGGGATGAGGCATAGGAGAGAAACTGGAGCAGGAGAAGCAGGGCAAAACGGGCGTGGAGTGTGGGCTCCACTGTCACCAAGAGTCACTGAGGGGGAAGCATCAGTGCACAGCCTGGTGATGCCACTAGTAATTGACATTTAGTAGCCCAAAACTCAGTGGCCCATTTTATTTTACTCCAGGTCCAAGTATTGTGCCCTTTTGAAACACCTGGCTTTTCCAAGAAATTTTCTGCCTAGAATGCTGGCTGGGAAAGGGCAGGGAAACCCTTGTACAGCCAGCTCAAGCTGAGTGCCTGGAAGTGACGTAAATGTTGGTGGTTTTGTCTAGTTTGGTGTCTTGCCTTAGCCACACCTGAAGTCATTCTTGTAACTCAACGACTTTGCTTCAGACACAGCCAATGAAGAGGGGAAAGGAGAGTGTTTGCAAAGCACCTAGAATGTTCCAGGCAAAGTTACATACCTTTCCTTCTTTTCATTGACCTTACATCTGTGATCTCATTTAATCCTACAATGACCCCATGGGGGATATGTTATAATTCCTACTTGATAGGTGAGAAAACTGAGGCTCAGGAAGATTAAGTAACTTGCTTAAGGTCTCTGAGCTAGAATGGGGCAGAGTGGGAACTCCAACCCAAATGTGTGTGTTTGTAAACTCTGACCTTTCTCCAGTGCCTCGCTTCCTCTGGAGAACTAAACCCTCTCTTGGAAGGACATGATGGAAACTCAACAGCCAACTTGACAGTCAGGAACTGCATAGTCTCCTGTGAATGATTTATGATTACATCAGTGATGAGACTCTGGGTAAGCCCTAATCCCCACTCACTAGGGTGCAATGTCCTTGGCAGGTCCTGGCTCCATCTTTTAGTAAACATTGTTCCAGAGAGCTAGAGCCCACACCTAACAAGAAATGGCCAACTTCAGCCTCTCAGAATCCAGGCTCTCCAGGGGAAGGGGGGGCTGCCCCAGCACCCGCCCTCCATCTGTGGTGTCTCCCTCACATGGGCTGCTTCGGGCTTCCTCCTGCCCAGTTCTGGCTGGGCAGTGATAATGATGGCGTTGCGCTCCGCTCAGGCCTCCTCTGGAGTGCTTGCAGTGACTCCCTTCCCTGCACAGAAATGTCAGGCTGTGCCTGCTGCAAGGCTTATCCTTCTACCCTCTTCTGTCTGTAGAAATCCTATTCCTCTCCAAGGCATAGGGCCAGTCCCATCTCCCTCACAAAGCCCCTCCTTATGCCTTAACCAGATGTGATTTTTTTTTAAACCCCTTTCCCCAGAATCACATCTTGTGATTGACTTGAAGGTTAGCTCCAATACCAGCTCCTATGAACACATCCACCCTCCAAGAAGACTTCACCTCTCTCTCTCCAGGCCTGCAATATGCAGTTCCTAGAATGTGACTAGGATGAGCTGTGAAAGGGTCAGTTTTTTCTACCAGGGCACCAGGACTCAGGACACCTTGACTTTGCCTAATCAGTGACTGAGATCCCAGGACATCCCAGGACTGAGATGACACTCAACCCGTGTTTTCCAGAATAATTAGGTTAACGCCTTGTCTGTGTCTCTTCTCTGAATTTATCTAACATGCCTGGGATTCAAGTCGTGAAAGTAGTTCCAGGAATATGACCAAGCCCAGGGCTCCTTGTACCCCTCTGCCCCAGGCACCAGGGACTTCCATGTCCTCTCCAGCATTGTTGCTGTTGAAACTCCTCCAACACCAAGCAGTTCAACCTTGGGTAAATAACCTCTCTTCTCTGAGCCTTAATTTCCTCCACAATAAGATGAACAAGTTGGTCAAAATCATCTCTAAAATCTCTCTTAGCCTAAAAATCCTCCCAGCAGGTTCTCACAAAAGCAAACCAATTAATAATGGTGAACAAATTTTTGAATAGTGGAAACCGAAGCACGGAAACAGACAATTCAAGCAGAAAGGATCGACTGGGTTGACAAGGATGTTGACAATGATGATAATATTTATCGTGATCATTTATTGCATTGCCATGTTAGGCACTTTGTATATACTTTCTTGGATCTTCCCAATAAACCTTTAAGGGGAGAGTAAAACCCATTTTATAGATGAGGAAACTGAGGTTCAGAGAGCTGATATGATTTTTCTCATTGTCCTACCAGCAAATGGCTAAGAACCTGGAGCTGGACCCCCTGGGTCCCCTCCGGTACTCTTCTGGAACATTCCAGGCAGGCCCAAGTGGCCAGAGCAGGCCCCGCCTGCCTCCCCCCTGCCCTCTGCGGCTGTTTTGCATCCTGCCAGATTCCTGAGGTGTCAGGCCTCATTACAGCCCCGTGCCCCAGTGAGCGTGGAGAGGCAGTTGACAGGTATACAATCTGATAGCGGCTCCCTTCAAATCATCAAGTTGTCTTCAGGCAGGAACACGCCGGGAAGCCAGGCAGAGGCCCCTGGCTTGGCTGCATAATCTGATGCACATTAAAAACATCTTTCGGATGCCTTTTCTTGTTGCACGCTCATTCTCACTCTGTTTTGTTTTGATTTTTGTCCTCCATCCAACAAAAGCTGATGAAGTACTCAACTCTCTAGGCTGTCTGGTCCAAGCAGGGTCTCACCAACCGGACAGGTATTCAGGGACTACTGACCTTCTCCGTGTTTGCCTGGCATCTAGGTGACAGTGCCTGTGGCACAGGACCACATCCTAGCAAGGCTGGACAAGAACCCATACTCTGCCTCCCTGTTCAATTTCAGGGTGTGAGTTCGATTTTACCACGACTCTCAACGGAGAGCCTGGACTAATAATAATCATTGCCGGCATCGAGTGAATGCTTGATTTGGGGGCTGAACCCCTTTTTATGTTTGGGGAATTCTCCATCCCAGGATGAGAGTAGGGAGAGAAGAGTCAGCTTTCCACCAAGAAGCGAAGAAAGCCAGATCCTCGCTCTCCTGGGGCCTTTGCAACCAGGAAGTGGACATGTGACCAGAGCCAGCTAATCCGACGCTCCTGTCCAAAACTGGACTACGGCCAGAAGGCATGGAAAGTTCTGCTCCACAGCTACAAGTGTCCTAGAGTGGCCAGGCCACAAATGGTAGCAACAGAAGTGGGGTGCCTTGGGCTGCAGGTGGCAAACAGGAAGCCTCATCTGCGGGTTCCATAGCATGGCTTGGATTGTGGTTCTGGCTGCCTACTTCTCTCTTGTTCTGGCTTTGTCTGACCCTGGATTTCCAGCCTTCCTAGAGACGATGAGCTGTTACCTTTCTGCTTAAAGCAGCCAAAGGCCACTTTCGTTGTTAATAACTAAGACCTCTGCCTAGAACCCCTGTGATTGCTTGTTTAATTCTCATATCAATCCTTCAGGTAGCTATTAGCCTCATGTTACAGACGAGGAAATTGAAGCACAGAGGGATTAAGTAATAGGAAGTCACACAGTAAAAAATGGCAGGGCCATGGATTCAAACCCAAGTCTGTGGACTTCAGAGCCCGGGCTCTTAACTACTTTAAGAAAGAGCTTTGACTGGACGTGGCAGCTCATGCCTATAATCCCAGCTACTCAGAAGGCTGGGGCAGGAGGATCACTTGAGCCCACAAATTCCAGACTGCAGTGAGCCGTGATGTAGCCACTGCGCTCTAGCCTGAGGGAAAGAGCAAGACCTGTCTCAAAAAAAAAAAAGTTTACAGAAGACTAGATAATGGCCCTCCAAAGATGCTCATGTTCTAATTCCCAGAATCTGTGAATATGTTACCTTATATGGCAAAGGGGAATTTACAGATGTGATTAAGTTAAGAATGTTATGATAGGGGGATTATCCTGGATTACCTGGGTGGATCCATTGTAATCACAAGGGTCCTTATAAAAGAGAAGGAAGATGTAAGGATAGAAGCAGAAGTCAGAGAGGAGAGGAGATGCTACGCTGCTGTTTTGAGTGTAAAAGAAGGAGGCCCCCAGCTAAGGAATGCAGGCAGCCTCAGAAGCTGGCAGAGGCAAGGAAGTGAGCATCCAGAAGAAACCAGCCCCATCAACACCTTGACTTTAGTCCATGAGACTGATTTTGGACAACTGGCCTCTAGAACTGCCACATAAGACATTTTTGTTGTTTTAAGCCACTACATCAGTTATAGGAAACTATACAGGGCCAGAAAAATCGTTTCACCTTTTGCAGTTCTTGTGGAAGGTAGGCTATCTAGAGAAGGGAACCTTGTGAGGAGCCCAGCACAGTACCCCTAGGGCCTGGCACAGTGCCGGGCTCAGGGCTGCTCTTCTATGTATCTGTATTGAGTGAAAGGATGAATGAGCACAGGATCCCTGATCTCATGCCCTGGTTGGCCAGCCAGGAAAGATGAAGCCAGCAATGCAGTCATAGCCATGGCTTTGGTCCCAAGCCCAAGAGAAGATCCAAGAATCCCGAGTGGGTCAGCCACATAGAGGTTTGGGCAGACCTAAGCCCAAAGCTGACCTTGTCACCCCCATTACCCTTTCCCACCATACCTGTGGCCTCTGTCACTTACAACTTCATGGTGAGGAAAGGCCAAGACAGAATCAGTGAGCCAAAGAGAGAGCTCTCCTCTGTGCTCAGGAATGAGCACAGAGGTTGGAGGGCCAGGGCTCAGCCCCAGTCTAGACGGCCATGCTGTGTTTCCTGCTTGAGTTTGCTTGTGGACTAACCCTCACGCAAGCCCTCCAGGTAGGAGGCTAGGCCCTCTGGAGGTGGCCTTGAATTCATGATTTTTTTTTTTTTTCTTTGAGACAGAGTTTCGCTCTTGTTGCCCAGGCTAGAGTATAATGGCACAGTCTTTGCTCGCTGCAACCTCCACCTCCTGAGTTTAAGCGATTCTTCTGCCTCAACCTCCCGTGTGGCTGGGATTACAGGCACCCACCACCGCACCCAGCTAATTTTTATAGTTTTAGTAGAAATGGGGTTTCACCATGTTGGCCAGGCTGGTCTCAAACTCTTGACTTCAGGTGATTCACCCGCCTTGGCCTCCCACAAGTGGTGGGATTACAGGCTTGAGCCACTGTGCCTGGCCCAGATTTTACAATGTTTGCCTTTCTGTGGGACGTGCCTAGAGGGAGCTTGCCTGAGAACAGCTAACATGATACACATCTACCCCCATCCCATTGCCTTTTTCTTATTTCTGGGGAAGTGGCATGTTCTTCAGGAAAGCTAGGCACAGTATATGCAAATGCAGTATTATCTTTGCAACTTTTCTATAAATCTAAATTTATTCCAAATAAAAGCTGATTAAAAAAAAAGAATCATACTAGCTTAGGCATCACTCAAGTGGAAACCAACGCAGCGGGCTGGGGTAGCTGTCCCTGCCACTCACACTGGTGGCACCTATTCTTTTCCTCGCTGTGATTTAGACCATCCCAAGCTGCGATGATCCTTCCCACTAAACCAGAAGTTCCTGAGGGCAGGGGCTGTGTCTCGTCACATTCTCTGCACCTGTTATAGAGCATTTACCAGTCACCCTTCTAAACACTTCACACTCCTTTCATCCTCACAACACTGCTGGGAAGAAGTTGCTATTGCTGTCCCCATGTCACAGAAGAGCAAACCGAGGCTCAGAGAGGTCACAAAGCAGGAAAGTGACAGGATTAGGACCAGAAGGACCGGCTCAGCAGCCTGTCTGCAGGTCTTAAACCCTCCACCAGGGCAAGCCATACAGCTGGGGGCGGAGCAGACTTGGCATGGGGTTAGCATCCCAGCTCTGCCCCTCACCAGCGAGGTGGCCCTGGACAAGTTCCTCAGCTGCTGTGAGCTCAGTTCCCTCATCTGTGAAATGCAGAGAACAGTAACTACTTCATATGGAGTAGATGAGATGCAACGTATAACCTGCTTAACGCAGAGCGCGACACGTCCTAACCATGAGAAGATGGTCAACGGTGGCCATGAAGATGACATGCAAGTATGATGATGGTGATGTAATGCTGAGTGAGTGGGCAGTGCAGGAGGAAAAGGAACTGTTAGCAGTTTCTGGAGAAGTCCAGGTGTGATGAACTGGGGGCTGGTGGAAGAGCAGAGGGCAGCAGTAGGTAGAAAACCATATCTGCAGGAGGCCAGAGGAAGAGAGGGAGGAGCCCGCCAGCATGCCAACATGGCCAGCAGAAAGTGATGATGAGAAAGCGGCCCTGCCCCCAGGTCCGAGGCAGACTCTTCGAACTCAGAGAAAGCACAAGTTTCTACCACCACCTCCTGTACTGCTCCAAACTTTGGAAAAATCAGCAAATGAGGCAAGGTCCTGGGCAGCCCTGCTTCTCCCAGGGTAGAAAGGGCGTCTGTTGTTTGTTCCACAGTTAGAAGTAGAGTCTTGTCCCCGCCCAAGCAGAATGCTTTTGTTTGGCAGGAGAAGGAAGAGCTGGGCAATGCCAGAGAGGAGCCCCCCCAACGCCACATGCTCTGAGTTCCCCAGCATGCCTACCAGAGCCCAGGTGGGCGTGGAGGCTGTAGGAGCCCTCACCACCCACCAAGTGGAGCTCCAGAGACCTGGCACCACTGAGAGAGGCGGCGGCTGTCAGCACTGAGCAGAAAGGCATTCCGAGGCGCAAGAATAGCCCGACCACAAGACAGGAAGGCAGTCTCTGAAACATTGTTCTTCCCTGGAACAGAACAGACCACATGTTGGGAGGCCCTGGGGTTTCCTGGAACTGCTGGGAACAGATGCGCTTTTCCAGGTAGACTGATTTCCCCTGTGGAGTCCCAAAGCCCTGTACCCGGAGTGGGCACCTTCACCAAGGGGGTGACACCCTGTGCCTGTTCATTTTATGTTAAAGACACTCTCCCACCTGTGGGTGGTGGCAAGAAAGTGCCATTCATGTGACCACCTGTCAGAAGATGGTCCATGCTTTTATTGTTTGTGTGAGACCCTAGGCCACAAGTAAGTGTTGACAGAACTTGGATCCCACTGTGAGTCACAGAAAACACATAGAGACTTCAGACTCACCCCCGGTCACACAACTTTGTGCGTTCAGTTGATTGCTTATTAGACATCAATCGAATGCCTTTGTGTAAGTTCTCATTCTAGGAATAGGGGTGGGATGGCAAACAGGATGAGGCCCTGGCTCTTGCATGTTATTCAGTTGTCCTAGTTGACGTCTAGATGGGAGAAAAGAGACAAAGGAACAAGGAAACCAAGAAAGACAGCAGATACTTTCAGACGGCAATCAGTAACACCAGGAAAATGAGCAGCGTTATAGGATGGTAGCTGCTTCCATCAGGTGTCAGGGAGTCCTCTGGGAGGAGGTGGCATCTGCGTGAATTCTCTGGAGCTGAGGAGCAGCCAGTCATGCGAAGACTTGGACAAAGGGTATTGGGAGCTCAGAAAACATTCAATGGCAAAGGCCCCAAGGAGGAGCAAGTGAGAAAGGGCAGGGTGTCCAGAGTGGAGTGTGGACAGGGAGGGTGGCACCAGATGAAGGTGGGGTGGACCCAGTGGCTGGGCTGTGTAGACACAGAGCCTTGGAAGCCAGAGGGGAATTCTGGACTTGATTCTAAGTGGTGTCAGAAGCTACTAAAGAGTTGTAAACAGAGGCATGGCATGATCTGCCTTTTGTTTTCAAAAGTCTGTTGGCAGTGGGAGGACAGTGGGTTGCAGGGGACAGTGGGAGGAAGCAGGGAGACCCCGTAAGTCTGTTCAGTTCCAGCCAGAGAGGATGAGGACTCTGGCTAGGGAGGGAGAGCAGGATAGTCAGGGTGTGCTCTAGGAGGTATGCTGATGGGAGCTGCTGATGGCACCAGTGGAAGAGGGGGATTCAGAATTGGGGTTTGAGCAACTGGATGGGTGATGATGTGCATTTGCTGCTGTGGGGAAGAGCAGGTTTGTGGGGTGGAGGTGGGGGTCAAGCTAGCACCACATTCATCGGGAAGCTGAGCAACAAGGTGTTGAACAAAATTCAACTTGTGCAGAGACAACCTGTAGAATGGGAGAAAGTATTTGCAAACT